ACATACATACATACATACATACATACATACATACATACATACATACATACATACATACATACAAGTTTCAAGCTTTTTCCACAAGCTTTTGAGCACCAGTCATTTACCAAGTTTACATAAGTGTGCATTAATTTGTAGGAGTTCTCTGTCAACAGCGCTAAACCAAAAACAATAACTTGAGAAAATTTGTTTTATCTATTAAATAGTTGAATAAGAAAAACAGTCTGAAACCCTAAACAATTTTTTAAGCATTTTCTAAACTTTTCCAAATTTATTGAACCTAGAAACTTTAGTAAGTAAAACTACACATCTTCCATTACTGTTTGCTACATGTTTATATTTTCCTGGCCAGCAAGTGGTGCATCTTCCTGCACTCATTGTCCACGGTTTGGAAGCTGCTCGTCAGGTCTGCCAATGCCAACCTTCATTTAGAAAATGAGTGATTTTTCTTTTGCAAAATCATTTTGAGTTAACATTGTTACCAGAACACCCAATCACTATGTATGTTTGTGGGTGTGTGTATAAATGCCCTTCAGTTTTCCCCAAGTCTTTTCTGAATTCAGGACCCTTTTTTATTTGTATTTCTAGTACCAAGCTTGAAAGCCTAACTTTTAAGAGCAAACTTTAACTTGAAAGTATGTTAAGGAATATTTTCTGGTAAGCAAAGTTGGTTTATGTAAAAGCTGCAACTCCATGGTTTTCACAGCTTTGATACCCTTTTTCTTTTTATTTCTGATGTATGTTTATTATTTTCATGGCTTACTGCTTTCCATTTTTTGCTCCAATGTTCTGATGCCTTCCTCAGATTATCTGTATTCTGTCCTTTATTTAATCATCCTCTTTTGTTCGAATTGCTGCACATTTTAGACACATCTGAATTGGAGCAAACATGTCTTACCACACTTGAATTATAGCCTTCCATGGAAAGACAGCTCTTAATTTGAAATCATGACCCAACGCAACAATACAAGTGGAGCAACAGGTCTAGGTTGGGAAAAATGTCTAAATGGAGCCACATTTAAATATTGACAAAGAGGATTCTTTGAAATGTTTTTTTTTTCATGAGAGAGTGATTCAGTCAATAACAGTATGAGGGCCCATTGTATGCAGAGCAGTCTGACCTGACCAGTTCTTAAAAGTGTGGGAGAAACAGCTGTTAAAAAAAAAAAACAACACCTGTAAATTAAAATAATGCAAAAAATGTATTTCTCTGTGTTTATGTCTTTCAACCAATTCTACATTAAAAGGGTGGCCAGTTAAATTATCATAGAGAATTTAAAACTAAATGTATAAATATTATTCATGCCGAAGCCCAGGAGCAACCTTTCACCAAGAAAGCTGATGGCTTTTAGAGACTAACCTATGAGAAGATGTTTTAGTCATCAATGGAAACTTTAGTAAGCTGTTTCCCCACGTGAGACAATCTGCACTAACAGAAGAACCTTTGGCTGGGGGAATAAAGATTATATCTTGTCCTTTAGTTACTGTATTCATAACAGTGTGTCTACAAGCCAGACAGACGCCACCATGACAAGATAAGGTCCTGTCTGGCGTGATCATGGTGGCACAAACAGAGAAAAATGCAGACACCGTGGGAAAGTGCAAAAAAAAACCCACACAGCTATGAATAATCAAATCAAGTTGAAGAGAAGACGATGGATTTATAAAAATGTAACTGTGGTTAATAAACTCTCACCCCCAGCAATGCTAATATTTATAATACTAGAGAGAGGATCATCAGGTCATGTAATAGAAACCTGCCCACAAAGTAAAATATCTACATACAACATGTTTTGCTTTTTCTTCACAGGTTCACAAGAGAATAAGGAAAATGTACCCCACCAATGCTTTAAACACAACTCTTAACATATATTAAGACTTAATGCAATTTAAACCCGTTCTGTATTTTTTCTTTTTTTTAAGTGTTGTAGCACTAAAAAAAAAAAAAAAAGAGTTGGAATATAATGACTGAAATAATTAAAATACTGCATTTAGGAGAGTTCACAGCAAAGCTATTTAAAAAAAGCATAAGCAGTATTACTAGAGATTTATTACAGTTAGGTGATTTTAAACACTTTATAGACATGTGTGGAAAAAGTCTAGAAAGGATTTCATATTTTGTTTGTTTAGTAAAGATGTTTACTTAATAAACATCTTGTTAGCATTCTCCATCAGAAGTACTACAGTGAGGAAAATAAGTATTTGAACAACCTGCTATTTTACAAGTTCTCCCACTTAGACACCATGGAGGGGTCTGAAATTGTCATAGTAGGTGCATGTCCACTGTGACAGACAATATTCCCATTTACACTACTCTTTTGAAACCGTGCAGAGAACGGTCAAAGCACGGTAATCGAGATAACTGTTGAGTGTAAACTGAACTGGACAGTGCTAGACAAAACAAAGCCGCACTAAAACTAGTACTAGTTCAACAATAGGGCTCGGCACGGTTCAGTTATGGCTTAGTTCTTTGATAGAGAGCGCATGAGCTGACCGCGTTTTCTCCTATTTAGTTAGCTGACTAAATTCAAGTGTCCAGCTTTGCAATTCACAGTTCTCTTCACCAGTTCACAAGATGAACTTCTTCTCTGACTTAACAATAAATGGCATCAAAAGGGCATGGTGCGACCTGGGATGATGCAGAGACATATACCCCATTTAGAATGTTTTTAGAGCATAAACAGTAGTGTATAGGATTTCCTGAAAGCGCGCACCTGCGCGATCACGACGCTACGGAAGCCGGCAGACCAAACCAGATGAAAGTGCGCATTCAGCGTCTGCTCTTCCAATAATGCAAGCGTAGAAGAAGAAATGTGCTGTTTACCTGTGCAAAGAAAGAAACAACGAAAGAAAACTGTCTGAGGACTTCATCGTTGAGGAAGAGCATGAGTTCTTTGCCGAGCTGAATGCGCTGGTTTGGTCTGCCGGCTTCCATAGCTTCGTGATCGCGCATGTGCGCGCTTTCAGGAAATCCTATACACTGTTTATGCTCTAAAAACATTCTAAATGACTTCGTTTCGAGTAAATTCTGGATGCTACCCACTCAGGACACTTGGAATACATTGGACGAGCAGTATGGAGGAATATTGACACGTTTTTTGTGGACTTTTATGGACCTTTCTGCCTCGGGCGCCATAGACCTCCATTATTTGAATGTCAGCAGACAGCAAGAAGCCTCCCAGATCTCCAGATGCATTTGAGATATCAAAAAAGTACTCCAGAGTGTTGTTCAGCATGGGGGTGAGTAGAAAATGAAGGCTAATCATGTTTTGGGTGTACTATTCCTTTAAGTTATACAGTAAGGCTCATAAAGACCTTTTTCAGTGGAAATAACTGAAAAAGATGCTGCACAAGTCAAACGCAATACCTTAATCTAAGCTTTGTAACATGTTTCAACTGACTGAATGTATATGTGATGTTACAAAACATAATCAGACTCATTTCCTGCTTAGCAAACATCCCTATCTATTATCTGTGTTGCAGACATCCTCCTACCATCTTACCTATCAGAAAGGACTTTCTAGCACTTTAACCCCATGTGTGGGTAAGGTCATTTTTTGATTTAGGAAAGTATAAATTCAAATCTGCAACACAACTGACTTTAGAACACAGAGGGAAAAAAAGCGACCAGTACAAATACATTTGAACTGAATTCAGCAAAAGTTTGGGAGTAGAGCAGTGGTTTGGCAAATTGCCCACACTTTGTTAAAGTGTAGCTGCTTTTGAAATTACTCTATCACAATAGTAAATGTTCAAACAGCATATGATATCAAACTACATCTCAGGCTCTTTGGAGTTAAAGGTTGACAGCTCAACAGCTAAGGAGAGGCTGAGAGGTGAAAGCAGACTAAAAGATCACTAGAGTTAAAAACATCATAAGCAGCTTAACCTAATGCAGTGGGTTTTTTTTTTATGAAATCGGTCTAATGGGTGACTAAACAGTGCAATGCACAGTATGCTTCAAGTAGCTGTAATGACCCTGGATCTCTTAGAATTAAAAACAACTACTGGG